CATTTTTCAAACTGAAAACAACTTGTATAATAGAAAAGTATTAGCCTTACAGAAATGGTTAATGTATCTAAGAGTAAACGTTAGCTTCAAGTTCTTTTAGAATAACTGATCAGCTCTAGCCCTCACTTTGAAATACTAACATCTATTGTTCAGTTTCAGATAGCAGAAGACTGGACAGTAAGGAAAATATAAATGCATTGTTTTCTTTACAATTCTATGTAATTCAATTTTAACAAGACATACTTCCTGTAAGTGTTTGGGTACAGCACTGGAAAAAAGGGAGTGGGAGACAGTCCCCTGTGCTTTGATCATGTGTCTGAAAGTGCTCAGGACAGATGAATCTGATGCTATTTTAATTTGTGAGTAATATTCTAGGGACCATGGCTGGACTGCACTAATAGCTGGAAAATATCATGCTACAGCATTCTTTCTTTAGTGTCTCTTTTTTTGCCAGGGACTAGAGCAATGCAAACGTAAAAAAAAAAAAACCCTATGCCTTGAGGGAGTTGCGCCTGAGAGTTAATATTCAACGTACTCTTGCTGAAATAATGTATCAGTTAGGCAACCCTTCTACTGGTAAACGGATTTAATATTTTAAGTTGTCAGTTTACAGCAATAGCATAGAATGTCTTGATTGATACTCATCTCTGAAAACTGTATTATAAATGTTAACTAAAACATATCAAACTAGCACGCTCCTAAGGAAACAGCTGAAGAAAGGATAAATTATTTTCTTGGTTTATTTATTCATCTGTATATTGCATAAAAGAAAATATGTAAACAACTCTCATCTTTTAGATCTACTAGGTTAATCAGCAGATCCACACAAAGCCTATTTAAACTAGAATTACCTGCAGGCCAACACTCTACTGCATGCATACCGTAAAGATGGCTTTACAGTTGCAAAAGGAACAAAAGAATATTATTTATCACTATTCTTGTTGCTCATTGTGTTCCAATTAGATCGTAAGATAGCAAAGTCTTAATGTTAGTAACATCTTGATTGGAGTTGCCTTGAAAGGTAACAAAATTAGTCAACCATCTACACAATGTGTACAGAAAATGGTTGTCAAACTTTATATTCAGCTTCTTTATAGTGGGCATGTGTTTTTGTTTTCTCTTAGATTGTCAGATTGAACACCGTAGAAAAGTTATTTCGAACTAGAAACACAAAAGGACTCAAGTTCTGCCTGAGTAAATTCTGAGTCTAAAACTATCTTTTCAGCTTCTGTTCAACTGCCACGTGAGAGGCGCTGCAAGCGTGTCAGATTTGTAGGTGTCTGTTTTCAACATTCAGGCGTTCAGGTGCCTGAATTTTTGCTTTGGGCAGAACCATCTTAGTTTATTTCTAGCCACTATTTATTAAATAAAGTCAGGATTAGTGTTTCTTTCTGAAGAGCTCAGTCTGACTGCTGTTTTCCAAACGTGCCTATATGGGGCTGTGAAGAACAGTGGTGTGTTGCGTTGATGTGTACGCAATAATTCTGTCTATAAATACTTGCCAAACATGTAAGACATACTGATTCAAATCCCACCTGTGTGTGGCAGGATTTGAATCAACTCCCTCCTAACTCCCCAGAAGCATGTTGCAATGATCACGCAGGTCAGTGTAGCTCTATCCCAACAGCTGTGTGTCCAGTCCCTCTTGTGCAAGAGCTGCAGCTTCCAGGAGCAGGCATGGTTCCCTCTCTATGGGCAGCAACCAGCAGCTCTGGGCTGGCCACGGCTAGCGAAGAGAGAAGTTGGCTGTAGGACGCTGTTTCAGGAAGGAAATGTGCTTCACATCAGATGTGGTGTTTTGGGACACCAGTTGTCTGACCTGACTAGGTTATTTATGGGTGGAAATAACTTCTTCTGAGGCTCTTCTGTTTATTAAGCCAAAGCGAACGTGGTATTTTATTTAGCCCTGTAAATAGGACAGTACCTGGATGCCAGATCCTACTCCAGAGGCTTTTCTGCAGGTTTTACATTAGAGAAAAAGTGAAAAAAAACTACACAGTGTAGCATTCTGTAGCATAGCACCTAAACCCTTTTTGCAGGCAGTTCAATTTTGTTTTTTTTTTTTTTAACATTAAGGTATTTGACACAAGGCTGTAATTGTAACAAACAAAAGGAAATAAGATACCGTGTTTATGTAAACCAAGATAATCCCAGCAACGGGTACTCTGATCATTCGCTCTTTCTTTACTTGGCCAGCAACTGAGTTATACCTTTTCCCTGAAAGAGATGGCGGAAAGAAGTTCCAGCAAGACCAAGAAATATGCTATACGTTAAAAATTAGGTTGCAAGACTATATGCATTACCTTATATGATGGACGAGCAAGTGTCAACTGCTTGCGTGAAAAAAGCTGTGTAAGGTTTTCACTCCATTTATATTAGGGACAAAATTCCCACTAGCTTCACTATGAATTTTGAAGGCACAATTCTGTCTTTCAGCATCATTCCATCATAACTGCATCCAAGCTACACCAATACTAGTGTATTTGGTTTTGTTTTAATGGTCTTGTATTTCATCACTACAGTTACTTTTACAAAACTTAGATTAACAGTATTAGCACCCTGTTATCTTGACACAAGAGTGAGAAATGGCAGTAAAGTATTCCAAATACTTTTTGATCCAAACAGATTCCCATCTCTCACAAAAAAAGTGACTGCAGCATTTAACAAAAAAGGTTTATTACCAAAATACAATATTAAAGTCAATACGTGACAAACTCCTGTAAAGCAAAATAAATTATTCTAACATTGTACAGTATTTCAGAAGGTAGTTAAAGTAGTACTACAGACTTTGCTTCATAGTTCCAAACAGACAGTCTTCTATCAGGAACACAATCCTAGAGAGAGCTTAAGGCATGCAGCTTAATGTGCTGGATAATTTTATAAAATGAAAGTCATCCTATTTAATAAGATACAGTATCAGAATTAACTGCAGTCTTTACATGTCAGTTTTCTAATTTGTTTATACTTTGGCTATAAAAGCAGTGCCATAGTGTTACGTTTTCTTAAAAAAATACATGTACCCATGTCCATGAATATCAAATGCAAATGTAAATTTCTATTAAATATATCTTAACAAATGTTACTTTCAGCACCAACTGTACATTTTTAAATGATTAAATAAGTGCTTTTGAAAGAGGAAAATATAGTAACTCTGACTGAAAACCACTTTATTTTTCCAGGCCAAGTATAAGTCAGAAAGATGAAATACCACCTATTTATCAGTATGGTCTAGTATGAATGAAGCCTTCTCTTTAGTAGAAGTATAGGCATTTAAAATCAAAGCTGCAAGTTAAGGTTCACATGCCAAAAAAATTATGTAAAGCAAACAGCAAGTGAATTCCTGATCAACTGATAGTTTTGTGACAGAAGATCCTAAAATATTTTAAAATCTTAAAGAAAGGGGAAGACTGCAGCGTTGGTAACCTGGAAATGTGCTTGAGAAACCCTTACATAACATGCAACCAAGTGAACCGCACACTTTCTAAAGCAGATATCCTGAGGAATAATTTGCTTTCAAAAACTGAGCCTATAATTACTTCACATGCAGAACTTCTGATAAAGTCCATGGGATTTTTGAATGGATAACTAATGGCAAGCAACACGGAGATAGAAAGTTACAATTTTTATCTCTGTGCAGATGGGGAAGAATTATTTGGTGGCATTTGTTAGGGCTCGTAAGAGTTTTCGGAGGCAACCAACTTTCTACTATTTTACAGTAACACATGCTCAAACTGAAAAAAGCAGTAAGATGGCAAAGAAAAACTAAATAGTAGCATTCTGCTCAGTAATCCTATTACAATGCGTCTTGGTGCATTAACACTGCAGGTGGGGCCCACCCAGGCACCAAAACTGTTAATTTTGATTCAAAGTTACTTGCTTTGTGAGTCTTGGCTCCCTGCCAGCTTATGAATGCAACTTTTTCACCTTTTTTTTCCACTAGCATAGCAACTTTAAAATACATTATCCTTTTACTGAAAAATAAGAATGTGGCAAAATACTGTTTCTATGATCGCAGATTTGTAGTTTAACATTACTATGAATCTCTTTGTACCTTTCAATTTTTCAATAAATGGGATCTCTGAATGACAAAGATCAGACAAATTCCAAATAATTTACTGCTTTCACACGAATTCTCTGTTGAAAACATTTTTTTCAATAGGACAATAACAATACTCCATTAAAAGTTATCTTAATTTCAGTTAGAGATAGCAAATGAAAATGATGTATTATTTTTAAAATGTAAAATCCATCTCTGTAAGACTATAAAAAAAATCAGCTTTTGACTGAAAATTATGTATACTTACTTTTACAAAGAGATGTGAAGTATCTCAAATATCTCAGACACAAAAATGCTTTGACATTAGATCCAGGCCAATTTTTAAATAGGTACTTTCTGCAATCTAATTTATAAACAAAATGACAGATACTTAACTGAAAAGAACAAGTTGAAGATGCTTAAGGAAATCACTTAAAATAATCACCAAACGTATTTGGAATCTTACTGCCTTTTACACTGGCCTTTAGATTTTGTGCTGCTTCATAAAGTTGTAACAAGACTTTTTGTTGATTTCTTGTTTGCCACTTTTAGTCAGCAGTACCACAATGGACTGTACACTGCATCTGCCACCTTCTTAGATTTACAGCTGTAGCTTATTGCTGCTAGCAGAAATGCATAAACAGGAAATAAACATAATACTATTTTTTTTTCTAAGAGTAAGACATTTTTAAGCAATGAGCAACTAAAACGCAGGTAACTGCATTACCATGCTGTGAGCGAGGCGTTCTTCTGTGCAACTGCGTCTCTTTAAAAGCAGAATGAAATGCCCAAACTAGAAAGTTTTAATCAGGCTGCTAAAGGGCTTCTTCGGAAGTGCTACTACTTCACTCAGTAGGAAGCATGTATTTCAAACAATTTAAGTAGCCAACTTTATAAATAATCTCAACAAAGTTGCCAGGTAATTAGCCTGTATGATACTATTCCCAATTGATACATAGACAGATGTCTTCTACTGCAAATTGCTGAATCTATAAGAAAGATCAGCATTGTAATCTTTGAAGCTAAAAGCTTTAGAAGGGAGAGATTTCTATGTGTTTCTCAGAAAACAAAGTAATCCCTAATTCCCTTTATGAATCCATACTGTATGCACTAGTAAAATTTATTCTACAACTGACTGGATCCAGTTTTTACTTAAAATATTGTTTGCCATATTTCATATTTTGAAATAGAACATTCTACAGAAAGATTACCATAGCTTTCAGTGAATGATTTCTATAGATACAGCGCAGCTGGACAAGTAGGAATTTTAGACAGTGGGATTTTCAAAGAACTCCAAAGCATGTAGGCAATTCTCAAAATCCCACTTTGTGCTAATCCACATCTTTAGGAATCTATGTAGCTTTAAAAATCTCTTCTTGTATCTTGGCTATTACATACCTGTTAATACCTTATTCTCATTAAAAAAATGGTGCTCATGTGTACTGCAAAGTAATCACCACAAGTTAAAATGACATATAATCTGCTTAGTTTTGTTTGCTTTTTTTTGAAATAGGTTTCACTAAGTGTGTAAAGAAAGCCATTAATAAACAGCAGGACATTATTATAAAGCATCCTTTACATACTTTTACATACTTTTACTTAGACTGTACCTATCAAAATGTATCAGATACTTAGTGAGGACCTAATCAGAAAAACAGCCAAAAAGCTTCTAGGCTACTCAGCTCCTGCTGCTCTGAATCAAGTTAGAAGATACCAGTCTTTTTTAGGAAGAAGATTTGGAGATTGTAAGGCCTTCAAAATACATGGGGAGAATGAAACACCTATGTACACATGCAAGCACACACATGTGCCCTAACCCACCTCCTCTCTCTCTCCCTTCCAAAATCTAGGCAATATGTTTTATGAGATCATACTGTAAAATGTCTATCTGTCTTTTGCCAATTAAAACAGGGCAAAAAAAATGCTTTGCCTGAATACTTGCATAACAACAAAAAAGAAAGGAAGAGAAAAAGCTTCTCAATTGATACAAAGCTTTTTTACCTTTAGATTTTGACTTCGGTACTAATGCATTATTATGGACCTGTCAATTAAACCTGACAATTAAAAAAAACAACAACAACAAAAAAAACCCCCACGCTCTTGGCAACATACAGAGAAATAACAGGTTTAAATGGATCATTCTACTACCCACCCCTGAAATTAATCTCTTTAATGATTCATCTGTCCCTGGCTAAGCTACTGTTCTCTTAATGAAACAAGGAATTGGGCTCAGAAATCAGCAACTTTTGCTTGCATTTTCTTCTCTTTAGCAAGTTTCTCAGGCAAAATTAGCAAAGATAGAAAATATCCACTCTAGAAAATCCTGTTTTTAACTTTCTCCTTCATCTAGTTTGTGCTCTGAGTTGTGCTGTGGTCCTTATTTAGAATGATGTTTATGATTTCACCCTCATGTTCTTTCATATGATCCAACAGATTTTCTTTGTTGGTGGACTCAAACCCACAAATGCAGCAGCAGAAGAGAAGAACGCAGTATTCTGTGCCAACATGGGGCAGAGTGGAGTTCTTTTCTAAGCTGCATGAGGTATTCATCAAGTTAGGTTTTTCATTTTCATCAGAACCCGAAATTTCATTAGTTGTTTGGTTAATAGACTCTGTAAAAGACACCAAGTTGTCTGAACTTCCTAGTATAGGTACTGTACTTTCATCAGTGCCTTCTAATAAGTTTTTTTCAGGAAGCTGTCCTTGAAACCTAAAGTAATAGAAATAATAATAAAAAATGAAACAAATTTCAAAACATACTTTTTTGTTGCTTCTTGATAGAAACTTTTCTTTGAATCAGAGTTGGGTCCTTTGAAAAATTCTAGACGACAGAGCTTGAAAGTAAAACAGACATACCTGCTGCTTTGTGAAATTGCATCATTAATAGCCTTGTTCACTTGTTCATAATTATAATTTTGGTCACTTGCATGTTTCCACATGTGGGACTTTAGGGAGGGAGGATGACTACACACATATCCACAAAGAGAACATCTAGGGAAAAAAGTAAAGAAGGAAAAAGAGAAGCACACAGAAATTAAGCTTTATGATTTTAGTAATTCACTAGTTCTTCCAAAAGGTTCAGAAAACAGCAAGATACATTCTTTCTTTTCTCTTCTACCATACAATAGGAGGAATTGTGCTTACTCATTTCAGGAGAATAACACTGCAATAATTGTTTTTTACTAATATAGGTAAATATGCCAATTTCCCTCTCACTCCCTCTGTCAAGTTTTATACCTAGGTCATGTTAGTTTGCAAAGTTTCATTCTGAATTGTACACTGTTTAAAGGTTCTGAGAATTTTTAAGCTTAGCTTTTCTGACTTCTTAAATAATTTTAAAATCTTATCTGTTTGGTTTGTTGAAACTGTTTAAATACTGCAAAAATGCAATAGCACTGATAACTGCAGAAACAGGGAGTATGTCTATGTGGTATTTTGCAGGTTGGTAGTGAGGCTCTCTCTGTGTTCTCAGCACTGATAAACTTAATGAACTAATAAAATCTTTCTTGGTGTAGCATGTATTAGTTTATTTGAGGATAACCATTTTGTCTAGAGAGTTTTCCAACAGTTTGGGGAAATTTAAGAATAAATTTCCTATCTCCCTATGAAATATTACATAGCTATATGCTGTCTTGTTCTTCAACTTAGCTTCAGTTTTACACATAGAATTCAGAAAAAAATTAACATCTGAAATAATCCTAATTATTAAACAATCTTTGATCTTTTCAGGAAACGCACTGTTTGAGAAATGCTTTACAAGTTTTAGATATAAAATAAATTTTTGTCCCATTATATTTAATTTACATTCCCAGTATTTAGCATACAGGTCTTCATGTACGCAATCCTAATTATGTCTTGTAGAAACAGGAGAGGTTTTAGCATAGACTTCAGTAAATTAAACACAACCAAGACTGTTTAACAAAGGTAATACTTTGGTATTTCTTCTCTCATTTTCCCAATACTCCAATCCCTCTTTCTAAAACAGTTGTAAATTCATACTACTGAGGTATAAACATGCAGCAGAATTCACAGATGAACAGAAAATGCCATTTTTTGGAATGGTCTGATAAAGCTGAATGTAAATGTTTGTTCCTCCTGTAGAATTTGGCTGGAGGGTTCAAGAACCTTGAAAAAGAAACTCTATTTGCATACAGATGTATATTTATAGACATAGATAACTGAAGACTGATCAAATCCCATAGGACTTTTTTTGTACATGAATATACAACAGTAAAGACTTTTAAAAGCATTTTCCAAGATGATAAGTTAGTCAGCTCAGCATGAAGGAGATGAGTGATAATGTACGACATCACTCCAGAGCTGAACAGTACTCATGGTAAAGACGAGGTGCTCCTGCTACTTCGGAAGTCTTCAGTTTTTCAAATCACATGGAGTTCGACTAGGATCAAATTTTTTTTTAGAAATCCAAGGTGACCTAGTTCTAATAAATTATAACTAGGAATCTATCTCAGCCTATCTCATTCCTCAACAAAAGCAAGATGGTCTTCTCCTCAAGCAATGTGGTCTTCTGATATTTTGCATTAGGATAAATGTAAATAAACATAGGATAGGATAAACCTTTTCAAAACTAGGACTTGGAAACTACATAACCCAGTGTTAAACACCCCAGAATTCAGTAAGGCTTCACCACTGCTCCTAATGATAGTAGGATCTAGGACTTAAATGCCTGGCAAATAATCTCACAAAAGAAACTATTTCTACTCAGCAGAAGGTTGTGGAGAATAGCAACAATCTGACACGTTATGTGAAGACATGGTACATTACCTTGCTTACGTAGCAAGATAATCCTATTTTGCTGGCTAACAACAGTGTGTCCTTCTAGCTCGCTTGTCTCTATTACTTGATTTGGAATGTACTATTCTATTTTTTCCTCCTCCTTCTAACTTGAAGCCTCATAAAGAAAATGGATGCTTTCAAATATATGCAAGTTCACCCTCAGATTGAGAATTGTAACACGTCTAATAAGGCTGTTACAAAATAATGCCATCATTTTAAATAAGAAATAAAACCACCTTATAATTCCTCTTACGGATAAAATTAGGCCAAAAAGATTTTCTGCATAACACAAAAGTCATTAAATAATCCGAATTCTATTCTATATGCACATAGGTTCAATAGTCTTTTATCATATGATGGTATACAATTTTTCTACATCAGTAACACAGCTTGGTCAGTGGGCTGAAGGAAGCAACAGTTTGTTGTTTTGTTTTTATCCACTTTTAATTACAGTCTCGTTTTCTGAAGTACATTAATTTAATTGGCTAATTTACTAATCAGATTTACTTTGCTGAGGACAATATCATGACCTTAATACTGTTGACTACTTTAGTCAGGCATGCAGTTCAAATCAAAGATGCAGAAACTCAACAGCTTTTAGTCGGATGTACTATACTTTATGATCATCATCCATAATACAATGTATATTATGTTAAACGAAATGATCTCATGGGAAATATATACATTAAAATGGGAGGGCAGAAATGGAGGTGAAGGCAGTTTACTGGTGCTGCTCAATGTTCTATAGAGTTTGGGTTTTTTTAAGTAGTGTTTTTAAAAGAAGTATCAATTAAAAACTATGGAACTAGGAGAACATCTGTTCCTATCTGAAGTCTGAATTTGCTGCATAGTTACAGTATATGCAAGTCATTCTCAGAGAAAAGAAATTATTTTACCATTGACTTTTGTGTTTTAGTAGTAAATTCCTTTCATTTCTATAGCATGATTTGCCCTACTGATTGACCTATGCTGAATTATTAAACTATACTGTTCAAGTGTATCCTAAATTGGTCTACTGAGAAAATAATTATCTTGCAGCTTTTGATAGAGTATTTCCTCAGGGACACAGGGGACAAAGTGTGGAGATTTGCAGTAATCTTAGGTAATACTAAAAGCGCTTAGTGATAGTGTGTAAAGTATGACAGCAGAGCACACGGAACTTAGTGTTACTTTCTAGTACATTTTGGGGAAAAAAAGCCATGGAAGGACTTTGAAGTTATAGAACTGGATTTTCTTCAGAAGAAACCCCATATGTCAATGTACTTTATTTGGATTATTCCTGTTGCCTTTAAAATTCTTTCCTAAGAAATGACTGGAATCTTCCTGATTTTTTTCCCTTTCCTTGCTTTTATTTCTTATTGCAAATTAGTAGGAAACAATTAGCCATTTTATGCCAACTTTTCCTGATAAATATTTTTAACATATAAACAGACAGAGTAAGACTTAAACATAATGACCCTTCATACTAATTCTTAACGAGGGCATCGCAATGCAAATCTGGATTTTAATTAGTATGTGTACGCAAAGACCGTGCCTAGACTAGGATACTAAACAAAGCCAGAGAACATTCCTGGGCACTGGAATTTTACAATCTGTAATATTAAATTTTAGAGGTGCTCCAGCATGGTTTTGGCACATGCGTTGCCCCAAACAATTCCAAGAATGCTTTGGTAATTAACATGGTCCAGAAACCACTTGCAATAGGCAGTTTATATGCAGCCATCCCATTTTGGAAAGAAAGGGCTGAATACTGTACCAGAGGGAGGTCACAGACATGTTTAATTTACTAGCATAAACATCATCTAGGAACGCCATATCAAATCTCTCTCTCTCTCACACACACGCACTCACACGCACGAAATGTCACTGAAACAAAGAACGAATCTAGGAGGAAAAAGAACAGAATCTGAATTCTGCTTTATTTCATAACATTAAAAAATCACTACTATCACAGCTTTTTGCCAAATCAGAACTGTTACATACTTGTACTGCTCCATTAGCTGCACTGCCTGATGCTCCTGGGGGTGGCGCCTCATATGGCATTTCAAGCTATTCATATTTGTGGTGGCAAAGTCGCATACTCGACATCTAAAGAGACAAAAAACTGGTAAACTAATCTGATAATTAACTGCTAAAACTATTCTACAAATAGAAATTAAGAGGGAAAAAAAAGTATCTGAAAAGACTACAGTGAGGACTAACAACATTTACAGATGTCCAAGTGGTAACATTAACTTTGCATTTTTGGACCATGAGGACTTTTTGCACCTGAAAAAACCCTTCACCTTTGAGTAAGAATTGCTAGGTGTATGGAGCATGTTCTGTCCTGAAATCCATCTCATGCACCTCTACTGAAACTGGCCAACATCACTAACTATAAAGGGAGATCTGGGTGCTCTTGAAGCAGCCGTGATACAAGCTGCTTGGGTATGTTATGCAAAAGCAGAACACGATCGTAAGAGCTATAGGGGATGGAGTGCATTTCAAAGTGGATCTTATTCTTCAAGAATACAAGTTCTACTTAATGCAACAGCAATATTTCTCATGACACTTTAAATGCCAAACTATTGGTAATGAAATGTCTATGTTTCAGAGCATTATAGTTCAAACAGAAGTCAGGGATAAGATCAACAAATTTGGATTCGAGTGCCCTAAGACTCGAACTGGATTTGGATTCGAGTGCACTAAGACATATCACATGAAAGTCTACACTTTCATTTTTTGACTTCTGTCACAGCATGTGGTATGCAAATGATACATAAAACAGCCTGGATCTAGATCTAGGTCCCTGGATTTCGATCTCAAAGTATTACACAAAATACTATGCTATACATAAATAGCAACATACTACCAGGAAAGCTTCCTATACATAACATATAAAAACCGATCTAATGGGAGACACCAAGCTCAACTAAAACCCTGCATATTTATCAGGACTTTAGGATATTAAACAAAGCCAGAGAACATTCCTGGGCACTGGAATTTAACAATCTGTAATATTAAACTGTTAGAGTTGCATTTCTGCACCTCATTCATTTTGAAATGATAATATATTCAGTAATTTACAAAGTCTGGACTACAGTGGGAAAAAGTCTGAGAATCCGGGATAGTTGATTGGAGATTACTAACACTGCATTTTTCAAAGGGTTTAGCTGGGCAGTATTAAAATCTAGAAAGCTACCAAATCTACCAAAATGGATAATTTTAGCCATAGGTATGTAATAATTAGAAGCTATACAGTTTAATTTCCAGCATTTTTTGTCAAACAAATAATAAGACGTTTACAGGTATAAACATAGATGCAATATAGTAGGTTGCTATCTGATCCTTTGAACGGCTTAAGGAATAAATGTTTCACAAGGAGAAATACCAGAAATATTGGATCTTTATGTTTCCTAGGCTGTGGCCTGAGTGTTCTACCAGGTCTACAGATGTTTGCAAGGAGCCCATGAAAAGTTAGTAAGAAAAGCAAGCTGGATCATAAACTTATTATGCCACAGTCTATACCTCCAACTGAAAATTCTCATGTGTTCCTAAATCAAACAGGCTGGCTAACACCCACTCAGACAGCTACCAAAACCAAGATGCTCTACAGTATCTGTTCTTCCGGCTCCACTCAGCAGCAAATAGTGGCAATGGGGAAAATTCTGAGGAGGAAAAAAATCTATTTGTATGCCACAGTTGTGCTCTGAGCACATATATTATAACTTTATATATAATGTAATGTGATATATACTATATATAGTACATAGGGTGCCATGTAAATAATATATTAACACATTATATTAATATACAGTATTAACATGTAGTATTAGCATATAATACTAATATATAATATAATACATATCATATACATCATTATAATTCACTAAATCAAAATATAGCACATCTTGTGGGGTTTTTTTAGTCAAAAGGGAAAGTCCCTGTTTGAGTGCAAGGTTTCAGGGTCTGAAGATGTGTTTCCAGAGTTAGTACTAGAAAGATAGAAGTATATTAGCTCAAAAATTTTACTAACTCACATCTATTTTTTAACCACTAGAGAGGGACAGAGCTCCATCCTGAATAAGAATAGATCAAATTTGAAGAAATTCTGCAGAAACCAATAGAAAAATGCATGATTTATTTTTTCCTCTGAGGACCTGAACAGCAGTATTACAACCAATTTTAGCTATCAACATTTTTATATAGCTCTATATAATGTCTTTGAAGGAAAGTTTATAAAATCTGATCCTAAATGAGTGCGTTAATATTGATAAAGATAAGGGGACTGGGGCAAGACAAAGAGCAGATTTTTACTGCACTCTGTGGGAGCCAATACATCGATATCCCTTGACTCCTCCTTCCTCCACTAAGGAGTGTGAACATGGTTGCTTGCCCTGCTGCTTTAAAATGAAGCTTTAGAAGTAGCAATATGATAACGGAGAATGCCGTACAATAAAGCAACCAAAAAGCACTTAGTGTGCAAGGAGTCTACTAAATATGCTATTATCATCTGCCAAAGATCAATATTATAATGTAATTATTTCCCCTTCTACATCTGGATGCTTCAAACTGAAAACAAGCCATGGACTTCTCTAGCTACAGAGGCATCCTGGAAAAGTCAGCAAATCTTAAGTACATAGTTGATCAGCAAGCGTGGCTCCTTCAATTTTGCAGTGCCTTGTAGTAAAATTATGAAACTGGCATTTTTTAACAATATCTCAAAATTGCAAGAGCAAGGAAGTAACCTTGTTAAAACAAGCACACCAAGAGCCTAGCATTAGTCAGCAATAATTGAGACACTTACCTATATGGCTTATCAGAGTTATGAATTCGTCTGTGATTTCGCACACCAACATAAGTTGTGCTTGTGTAGTCACATACATCACATCTATACAGTTTTTGAACAGAAGCCTTGTTTCCTATACGAAACAAAACGCTTAACTTTAGAGAGATGCATTCAGCATTATAAGAAGTTCTCAGATGATACTTTCAGCATACAGTTGAATTATGAAACATGAATTAACATTTAAAAGTGTTACTTCAGTATTTGGAGCTAACTGGAAATGGACATAGAGATAATAAACGCTCATTACCAGGCTGTTCTGCGTTCTCCCTGCCATTTACTGGCATTACTAACAATTTTAGGGAAGCGCATTCTCTTTCACCACCCAGTTGCTTCCCTTCTGGGTTACTGTGGTCAGGTCAAAATCCCATGTTATAGTATAAGGTGCTAAATGCTGAACCCAGGCCTTTCACTGCTTTGCAGGATCCAAATCAAAGGAAAAGATGGGCGAGAGAGGAGACGGCTGAGAGAGAAGTTTCCAAATGGCAAATATAGAAAAGAAAAACAAAAAGCTGAAGCATTCAGATCCTCTTTATCATCCTGATACACTCACAGCCACCTTCAGAAGGATTTGAGATGATCAAAAAACAGATACTGACCAGATGTATTAAGAAATAATTTGGAACGTCTCCAAATTACTAAAAAGCAATTGCAACAGAAATCATTTTTTCTTTCCAGAATGAAAGAGACTCTTGAAAAATTAATGGTTGCAGAGACAAAGGCTAATTTAACCTAGGAAACAGTGTGCCCGCAAGTGTACAGTGAGAATATTTTGGGATGTGACTGTGTAGGCCTTAAAAGCTCTATTCCTGCTCCCTCACTGAGCAAGGGAACTGATTTGGGTTAGAAATATTAACATTTGGAAGGAGGGATGGTATTTTTAATGCAGGTCATTTTTCTGCTCTAGCTTATCATGCATCCTTCATGCACTCCCAAGTGAGGGAACAGCAGAAAGAAGGACAAACAGATTGGGGCTGCTTACATCAGTGCTACTGCCAAAAGAAACACCAAACTAAGACCTAAGGTTTTTCTTTTTGCATCTGACCTTTTCACTAACCTAACTATTACAATTCTACTTTTCTACTGTTCAAGTTCACCGCACCTTTACACCGAATTCTTATGAGCTGACTGAATGGTCAAGCCATGACTCTCAGTAACATATGTGGGCTTTGAAGAAACTGACAGAGATCCTTGAGAAATTCTCGGGTGGGAAAGGATCATTGCTAGAGTACATGCCAAAACCAAAATAAATATACAATTCAACAAATTATATATGGGAGACAAAATAAAGCTCAAATCTTGCGGAAACAGACTTGAGCAACTCCTCATGCTCCTATGAAGCACAATTCTAGCACAAACAAGCCATTAGTTTGTGTTGTGAGGGGTTTTAGTACTACTAGAATACACTGGAAGATCCTAGGTAGAACAGAAAAAGGGGTATTAGCTGGGTGGTTTTTTTATAGATGTTGCCTTAAGAACGCTGATAATATTAACAAGTCATCTACTTCCCAGCCCTCCCAGCTCCTTCCCAAACCAGAGACATAAACTTTCTAATTTCTCAGATTTAATCCCTGTATTCTGTTAAAGGCTTGTCAAGGTCACGAGCACTGAAGGTCCACGTCAAGCTGAGAGGAGGGTATGCCACTCTTAGGACTGTTTGAAAGGAAATACAAGCTTGAACTTTGAAATAAGAGACTGTTCATAAAGATGGAAAGTAGACTTTTTAGACATATCTCTGCTTAGGTCCAAATACCACATAGATCTTGCCAGTTTGGAGCAATAAAAACTGACTGAAACCCTCGCCTTCATCACCTCCTGAATCCCGATTCTTTGTAGCTAAAGACAGGAGAGATGAGAAAAGCAGACTGAATTCAGGAGAAACTGTAGCATTTATCTTGAAAACAGAAGTTCCATCTCCTGAGTCCAAAACCTGAACAGTTTTTGTAAAGACTATTTTGTTCTGGGGTTTCCTCTTGATGCTGCTGGGTTCCAACAACCCAGATTGACTCTTTCATTACCAAAGTAGAAATTAAGTACATTCATGGCAGAACTCTGTTTTAAGGAGATATTTTGAAGTTCAACTTTTCACTTCAATCTTATTCCACTGCGGGGCACTGAATTATGTCAAAATGTTTTAAGTATATTATTTTGAGGGATACAGTGACTTAAACGGTAAGTAAAAATTACCACTACTTAAATTTTCACTCTAAAAGCCAGCACTCTTGGTTCAAGATGCAAAGTAATTAGTTAGTGCTGGAGCTCTAGGCTTATATTACCAGAGGGTTATTCTGAAGAATATATCATATTCATTTATATTATCCTATAAAATAAAATGACAGTCTGAACACAAAGAAAGTCTAAAAAAAAAAAAGAATAATTCTCTGTGTGTGCAAAGATAACAGAAAAAATATTTTACACTCTTTAAAACTTAATGAATTGCTCACTGTTCTGGCATTTTTTACAAAAACAAAATAGTACAGAAGTAATACATAATATGCACTCTTTGCAATTCAGCTGTAAAGTTCTAAAAATATATCAGAATTTTTCCTTTCCTATATGCTTATATTGCTTTTTAAAATGTACTGCTGTTCAAAAAATTCTCTCTGATGACAAATTATCCGAACAGTTTATACTTACAGACTTAAGAATTTTTATTCCTACAATTGTGATTCTATGAATGCACATTTATGCAGAAGACCTCAGATTAATACAAAGACCATGGTCTGCAGGTCTACAGTAGAGCAGGGTTGTGTGAAGGTTGGGCTACTGCATGCTCTACTTGAATGGTTCTTTCATCTTAAATTCTGCAGCTTAAGAACAAACTGTTTTCAAATGTATTTTCTGTTAGGAATTTGGTATTTTATTGGGCAGGCAGCTTAAAACGAAAAATATCTAATTATATGTTTGCATAATGCTTATAAGATCTCATCTTTTGCACAGTTACAAGTGGCTAACCACCCAATAGCACACACTTAGGAGCAATTGCTTATACCAATCACTACTTTAAATTTATTCTTTCAGCAAAATGCACATCAGTTATAATACATCATATCCTCTCTGGCTGTAGTGAAATAGTAGTTGTTCCCCCCTCCCCCTCCCCCCCCCCAAAGGCTTTTTTCCTCTGGTTGTGGGGGCTTTTTTTCTTTCTGGATTGAGGAAATCTCTTAAAAAGTGAACATGGAAATGAGAGATCTTTATTACAGCAGCAGTAACAGGTGCTCCTATAATGCTGCTTATTATGCTATTCCTTCATTATTAGACATTTACAATCTGATCATATTCAGTGTCATAATGCTCCCTTTTAATTTATTGTACAACCATGATGAATAAAGAGACTTTTAGGACTAACTGTTTCATGAAGAAGAAATGAAACCGTTCCAGCTCAGGCATCTTTCACATAAACAGATGCTATGCCATAAACGTCTTTGTTTTGTGTCGCTTTATAGGGATGACATCTGTTTGACAAGAGATCGCTGTACTGCAGTGGTGTTGCAATTTGATTATAAATTGGTTCTGAAATAATTAAAGCATTCCAAAGTATAAGTTAATAAAAGTTTAAAGGAGAACTATTTTCATTCAAGCCATATTACTAAATTTAATGTGGAGTAAAAATTCAATTAAGGTGCATGGCTGTAACATTTTTATAAGATAATAATGAACAAAAATTATTCTAAAAAAATCGCTGAAGTAATTAAATCAAAATCAGGCGGATTTCACGAGCAGAGGTTCCTCTTTCACAGAAGTCACAAGATTGGGACATGAACTCTAAAGCTATCCTTTTAAAAAGCAGCATTTTCAAAAGCAGCTAGCCATCTTGATTTTCAGTCACCTTCATGAGACCTCAGCTCAAAAGGTACAGTATTTTGAAAGTCGGACATATTTCAGGTGTCTCAAGGTAGGTATTCCTTTATGAGGAATTTCTTATTTCCTTTCTTATTTCCTTTAAGTCATCTTTAAAAATCTTGGTCTAAAACATTACAGACATTGTCAGCAGTAACAGTGAGAGCTGTGCTTACAGGCATTTGTAACTAGCTCAACTAACAATGTTTTATTTCCTATTGCTTCCATTAAAACATTTAAGCTATTGCTTCTGAAGAAAAAAATACTATATTGAGTAACTTTCTCACTACCAACAGACCCTCCCTAGCCTTTTTTCTGCCTGCTCCTGAGTCCCCAGAAGGCCTATGGCTGTCTGAAGCTTAGGTCTGATGTACGGAATAAGCACTTAGAAACTAGTTTCCTGAGTTACGTAAGTCTAAATGCTCTCTGCACTGATGAGAGCAAAAAGGAGCCGGGAGGGGCCGTTTTATCTGAGGTTGATGAGGTAACTAGCTTTTAATTTTCTACCTTGTCTACTGAAAGCCCAAGTAAGAGGCAGCGTGAGCTAAAAGAACAGAAGTCAAGAGTTGAGGACCTCATTTTATAATGACATGCATTTTGCTTTGGACAACTCATTAACGGTTCAAGCCATCTACCCTCGCTCATGGTGGTTAGTACCTTTTTTCACAGGTAGTCAGGCTAATTCCAGATCACTTTCACACTCATTGATCAACTGTAGAGGCGAGAGTAGAACCCACAAATTTCAACTGCAATTTAAGTACTATATTACAGTATGCATTTTGCTATCTAAACAAACAAGAGACCATAGTTAGGAGAGAAAAGAGCTATGTGTATAAAATGGGAAATATTTCAGCCCACAGTTGTTCAGTGGTGCTCTAAAATTGCAGAGTACTAAAAATTACAGCATTCCTGAAATTATTTACAGCACTTTTATTCTGAAGGGAACTTTAACTCACCAGAGAGGACGATTCACACAAGTTGCAATAATAAATATTGGGGCTCCGGGACAGTCACAGCATCTTAAGACCACATTTTCCCTAAACTTCAAACTTTGGCTAATTTTCACTATCTTAACACTTCAAGTTAAAAAAATACCTATTAAATTATAAGAAAATACATAATTAAACAATAATTTAGAAAATGCATACCTACTACTACTCTGGCAACTATTACAGACATAGGTTGCATTTTTAGAACGCCTTACATTTGCCTCTCTAGGTCTAAAACAAATGACTCATTTTGGACTTCACCACAATTAAACAGTAATTTCTAGACATGGAATGCAAAATTAGATTGTATGTATATGGTGATAGCAAACTACCTTGCCACAGTGAGTTAAAAAAAAAACCAAGGCTTTCTTTAAATTTCTTTAATTTTTTTTTTAAATTCAGCCTAAAGAAGATCTTAAAAACAGTGAGGCTATGAATACAGCACCCAGAAGTAATTTTATGAGCAACTTGTAATTTTAAGTTAAAAATATATACAGTACCTTCTCTTTCATCTACTTCATTGGAAACTATTAGTTTGTTAGGTGTAGCTGTTGAAAAGATATCTGGAAGACTGTGTTGCTCTCTCTCATGATTTCGCAGTTGGCTCTGAAAAAACAATTTCTCATCTTTACACATACAATGCAAACATACAGTGGTCAATTCAGATACTGCAGTAATTTGCAAAAATATTACTCAAGTTTTACTGACAACTGTTATAAAACATACATTAGCATACATAGAGATTCTCCCTCAGTTAATTTTACTACAAACAAAATGGATTAACCTATACTTTAATAATGTAACAAAGGACTGATAAGAGTGATTAAGAGGTGATTATATAAGCCAAGTTAATTTAAGAAAAAAAATCTGTTCACTAGAAAAGTGAATATATTCATTACGTAATCATTTTTTCAAACTAGGACCCAACAACAGGACATACGGGAAAACCTGCGCTACCATTGCCTATGACAGTTTCAGTTGTAAGACCAGATACTGATGCTATCTACTGTATTTTCCCAAGTAAACGAGCATACTTGAGCATATAGAAACATACTCACAGGTGCTAATGTTAAAAATTGAGACTATAAAACTGAGAGCAGTACGTTATTCTGCTCTGGTGTGTAATCTTTCAGATCTAAGTTCTGCAGAACGTCCAGCCCAATAGAGCAACAGAGGAAGAAATAAAAGAACTTCTGTTTCAAAGATTCTCACGCATGTTCCCCAAAGGCCACTATTACTCTTGCACACACAACTAGTGGGTATGTTTGAGCATTCTTTTAGAGTTTCAATTTTTAAGTTCTCTAATGCTTCCATTTCTTCATTTAGTTACTACAGGTTGGTGGAACAACAGCAGGATATTAATATGTCCATAAGATGGCTCTCAGGAGAAATAACTTCTGTGAGGAAGCAAGCTTATTTCAGTGGGTAAGTCGGAATAATTATGGCAGAATATTATATTTGGAAAGTGCTGCAGGCAATAGTCTCCAACTGTAATGACCGTGAAGCCAGGGTGTCAGATTTAATTAAGTTAGAAAGAGGGATCATCAGTTATAAAAAAGTAACAAACAGGTTATTTAGCTATTATAAACAGACAAAGGAAATAACTTTACCTTATAATGAAAGGATTCTTCACATTGCTTGCACTGATACATTCTTGTTTTGCAGTGGTTGATCATGTGGCTCTCTAGATCCTTACTATTGTCAGCAATGTGTTCACAGATAGGACACTGATACGGTTGCCTCTGACGATGGACTCTCAAGTGTTGTTTTATGTAGCCCTTATTACCGCTGCTATAATGGCAGAGGCGACAGCGGTAGGGTCGATCTACATTAGGTATATATTCTACTAGGTTACTTCCAGAAATACTTGCATCATTTGCATTTTGGCATTGTGCGTTGTCTTGTAATTCTTTCAAAATGTCATCATCAGAAGCATTCTGATCTGTCCTCTCCTTCAATTTTTCAATGACAGTGAGTAGCGACATACTAATGCCCATTTTAATTGGTGCTTCTGATAACTCCGGCCTTTCTTTCTCTATCTCCACTAATGCACAGTCACTTTGGTTTAAGCTACTAAACTCCTCTGAAGGATTCTTAAGTGAGGATACCACTTTAGAATGAACTGGATATGAGCCATCAGCATCTCTCTCTCCTGTCTCTGCTTCCACAGAGCCTTCCCCAGGGAAGGCTCTAAAGCTAGACCTTGTTAGTTCTGCAGCTCTGATAGGCATTGTAACGAGAGCTTCTGCAGCTAACGAGTGCAGCCGTAAAGACTCTGAATTTGTTCTTCTCCGTACAGGAGGAGCATTTTCATCAGTAGCTATGTTTTTATTAGAGCTTAATTCATTATCTTTCTTCTCAGTATTACTCCATCCTATTATCACCTCTTGAATTTCATCTGAACGATAAACTTCAGGTCCTTCACAGATAACATGGGACTCCTCTGAGATTAGTTTTTTTTCTGTTTCAATGTCAGGGTTCATCAAGAAAGGCTTTTGTAAGACACTTTCTTCAGCACTTGGCAAACGCTCCACTATTACATTAACGTGACCCTTTTTATTTGGACTACAATTAATGATTTTCTGTGCTGATGACAGTAGGCTATCAGTTATCAAATTATCCTGTTCTGTATCTGATACAGTCTCCTCTAAAACTTCTGTAGTAGGAGAGTGTGCTATTGACTGATTTAACACTTCTTCCTCTTTTACATTTGCTCCTACTGGCGATTTACATGACATTTGCTCAGAATTGCAAATCTGAAGTTGAAGAGAATGTTCACTATGGATATCTAGCTCATTGTTTTCCAAAGAAAGAACAACTGCATCCACACTGTGAGGTGTATGTGTTACAACCGTCTCTGACAAATTCGTAGTTTCATTTTCTTCTTCAAAAATAGGATAGGAACAATCAACTTCACCTGCATGTTTCCAAGCATGTGTTTTCAACATTCTTTGCTGACCACAGGTGTATCGACAAATTAAACACCGGTACATGCCATACTGCTCGTAAGTATACCATTTTCTCCTACCCATTTCAGCCACATGAGTAGACTGAGTTATATCTTTGCATTCCAGATTTCCTGTCTGATCAGTCCCTGATTTGACACTTCCTTCCACTGGCCCTTGCAAAAATGAACTTGAGACATTTACACATTGCTGCGCTTTTGTGTGGATGCTATTTTTACTGTCACTCTCATGATAATTTTGGAAGTGAGATTCAAGCTCTTCTTGATTTCTAGAAGCAAAATGACATTCTGAGCACATTAATATCACTTCATTTTTCTGCCCATGTTGTTTTATATGTTCTTGTAGTGTTAAGAGAGATGGTGACAGAAACTTACATAGACTACACTGGTAGCATGTCACCTTTTTTTTGCTTTGTGGAAGACAATCAGTCACATAATAATCTGCTTGTAACTCCTCAGTCTTTTTAGTACCAATAACAGACAGCTCAATTGTTTTAGCTGGGATTTCACAAAGATCTTCTGTGTCAAAGGACTGCACAGAAGCATTAGGATGAGAACGCTTTTTCCCTATTAAAAGGCATCTTTGCGACTTCTCACTTTCAACTATTTTGCTTAGCTTCTGAATAACGTGGATTAGTGGATCGGTTTTACATTTTCTGTCATCTTCACTGTTTTGCAGTGTTGGACCAATGACGGTTTCAGAAATCAGTACAGCTTCCTGTTCTCCAATATTTGGCATCAATACTGCAACACTGCTTCCTTCTTCCATAATATCTAAGAGAAAATGTTTAATAAAATATTAAAATACATACATGCACAATAATAAAAACAGAATCTAGTACAATTTCTGTTTCTCTCTCTACTAAACGCAGAAGCCTAAAGCCACCAACTTTATAAAAGCTTTCAGAATGAGAATATAAATAGCCAAAGATTTTGAGGACATTTAGTGGACAGCACAGATTCTATGCAATACGTTTGCACAGAGTATTTTCAAGCCAGCCTATAGCTGCATGCCTCCAACTTGTGTAATGGTAAGAGAAGTATTTTTCAAGTTAGGCTAATTAGAGTTGTTACAGATACTGTCTACTTCTTTACCAGGACCACATTTTGAATGTTAGACACTTAAACATACCAATCAGTAGTAACGGGCATATTTATGTCTAAAAGCCATGATATGATATGAAAATATGTTCCTAACATACTTATTCTGATACACTGATGTCTGAAGTGCATATCAATTTGCAACAACATAATTTAAAAACATAAGCAAAATCCTTCCTTGAAAAGTTAGAAAAAAAGGTAAGTCTAGTATTCTTGCATTAGTCATTTTGCTATGACTACATTAAAGACAATTCAAATGTCAAGTCATACTTATTACAAATGCCATTTCATAGAGAACCTACTAATTGTAGCTTT